TTTCTAGGGTTCTTAGAAATAAAGCAACGATGGCTAATTCCCCAATGTGATTGCACGATTAGAAAGAAATCAGAGGTTCTAGAACTTGAGAAGGAAAAGTGTACTGGGACATAATTTTGTTACAAAAAAGAATCGAAGAACTATAAATAAATTAAAAGACAACAGGGGATTGTAAAGTCATTGGAAAATCTTGTGCAAGAGCTGAGGACAGCTTGATGTCCTTAAGAAACAGAAAAAGAATTACTAGAGAAAACGCAGACTTACAACCTACTCTTGCAAAAACAGAAAGACAGAAGATCAAGCTGCTGATATTGTGACAACATGTTATCAAAACCCGAAAAGCAAGTGTCTACATGTTATTGGTTTAGGCTATAATTTTTGCAAGCATTTGGATGCTATTGATTTATACTATTTTGTATTATTACTAATAGATATATTCAATGTTTTGTAGATGTTAACTGTTTTATTATTATTAAATTAGATCAAGAGAAACTCTTCACATTCATGATAAATGTTTTATGATTATACGTTATCTTTCATTGTTTCTGTCTAATTGAATGTGGAGGGGTACAGAACGTGAAAGGGTAGATATATATAGATAATATTCATTATAGTAAATATGCATGAATAAATGCGAGCATTAATATATTGATAAGGTGTATTGTTGAATTTCGTTAATTTGATGAGATGCGTTGTATCACTTAAAGGATTCGTTGCTTTGAATCCTATATATATGTGGATATATTAACAATTTGTTACATGATTTACCTGAAGAAAGAGAGGTAGTCAACTTTTAATTGTGCTGAAGCATTTAAATTGAGTTTCCCAGAAGCCAGTGCAGATTTTTTAGAAGAAGCCATGCTGGAAGACAGTATCTCTATTGATGTCAATAATCTTTGAAACATTAACTTATATAAAGTTCGCAGGAAAAACCTGTTAATTGCTTTGTATTTTTGAAACTGTTTGTAAATATTTATGTAACAATTGAAATTTTGTATTCTACCAAAAAACATGTTCCTAAAAATAGATACGAATATCTACTTTGTGTTAGTTAGTAATAAATATTACATGATAATATTTAAAAACACAAGAAAAAAAAAAAGAAAAGAACAACAATTTTCTCAAATCCTTCTAGAGCTTTGATATCTCTTACCAACAGCTGAAGGTTCATCAATAATATTTTCTGCATGTTCACTGTATTCTGGCTCTTGGTGTTCTGTTCCTTCACCCTTTTCTTTATTTATGTTTGAGGTACCTGAATTAGAAGATTGCATTGTACTGCATTGTTCTTGTTCTTCAAAGGATGATTTGGTACTTGATGTTTTGTCAGTAACTTTTGGTGTTAAAGGCTGATGTTGAATCGCATCTACTATTGATGAATCCTTTCCATCTCCCCCTTCAACTGCATGTAATTTTTGTATAAACTATTAGTAGCATGTTAATGAGCAACTATTGCTATCATTTGAATTTTTAAAAATGTGTTACTTAAAATAAAACATAAAATATACTAACCTCTTCCAATCGCTGTAGCTTGTAATCATTTTCTAGTTCATCATTGAAAAGAAAAAATTTTAATACAGTATAAGTCTCATATCCTTGTTTCAAATAAGTTTCTGACAACTTAATTTTGAAAACAAAAGTCTTTCCACAAAAAGCATTTACAACATCTGGAATTCTTTCATGATTGTTTTCTTGGGTTTTTAATAACTGGGAACATGACAATCCAACCAATTTCTAGCATACTGAATAAAACATTATAAAAGCCGCTTCAACAGCGCCACCTGTGACTACAATATCAACTTTATACCTGTTATAACAAACAATATTCATTAATAAATATCAACTATTAACGTTATAATGCATTGTCTTACAACAATTATTTAATTTTCAATAAAAAATTGATTCACCTCATTTGTGGAAATTTTATCTCCTTGTTGCATTTAACACAGTAGAAATTGCTATTGTTCATATCAGTAATTTTCTTCTTACAAACACTGCAAGATAAGTAACACCAACCAAATCTGTCATTGACTCCAATTATTTTTGCCTTTATTGTATATTCTGTAATCCGATCCTAGTTATACCACATAAGGCTGGTAAGATATTTCAAAGATACTCTATTTTGAAATATCTCCTCCTCAACCGATATCTCATTTAGCTTTCTCTTTTGCAATTTAACAACTAGAATATTTTCATTACTGCTAATCGTACAGCAAATGAGACATAAATTGTATAATTATTTCTTAAAATATTCGCAGAAAATGCTGCTAAAACACGTACTTTCTCTACAAAAGATGGACCTCATTAATTTCCAAATTGATATAGATTCTTGATCCCGAAGTACTATTAAGATATATCTTAACTGTACATTTAAAATCACGAATTATTAAACCATAAATTTCTATCCAATATCAAAAGCCTAAAATACCTTGAAACTTTTTAATGTTTGTTGATGTGATAATTATGACAACTGATTTGTCATCTCCCATTAGCAAGCTCTCATCAATTTTTTTCAAAATTTCTTCCCATAATGAAACTCTAAATGACTCCTTGAAAACAACATCGATGTAAGATAATCAAATTGTACCACATTATTACGATATTCAGAAAAGAACTTACTATTCAATCTGCAAAATAATATCTCGTTAATAACTGTTTGTTGATACGATTTTTTTTATCTCACCTACTCCATTCAAAATACCTATAACATCTGTAAACCATTTACTGTATTTAGAATTACAGTAGATAATATAGATGTACAACATGAATAGTAATAAAAGGCTTACCTGATAACAAAGATGTGTCATTTTTTTCTATTTTGCAGATCATTGATACTTGCAAATTGAAATTTAAACTCTGGAATAGCAACTGTTACTTCCTTGATCTCCTCGATGGAAGTATTCATGAGAAATTGTAAACGATAAGTACCTTCAATAGGCTTGTAAGTAGCAGCACATGGTATGACCTTCACATTTTTAATCATATATATATGGCCTTCACGAGTTTGGTTCTTAAATTTTACAACTCTATTTTTTGGTATAGTCCCATGCATCACATCATGCTATAAAATAATTACAAATAAGAAACGTTAGCGAACTTACACAATTTCAATGTTGGTAAAATTATATAATTTAACAAAGATATATAAAACCTCTTCATCAATAAGAATCATATCAAGACTAATCAGCTCGTTGTCCCTTTTGAAATTAAAACATTCCCACAATCTAGAAACCCTAACAATCAATATCCAATTATCTCACAATTGATTAATATCTTTAAACAAAATATTCGAAACTGTCATAAGTATCATGCAAAGATATTAATCCAAAGACGTGTGATATTTCAAATTGTATTTTTTTATGCTTATATAGGAACAACAAAATGCGAAAAGGCAGAATAGCAAGAGACTGTTTCTTGTAAATACTTACATTTATTGAATATATTTAGTGCATAGTTTCCACTAAATTGATGTGACAACTGAAGGGTTGATGAATATTATCATGTTCAGATTAAATGTACATATGTAGAATATCAATAGTTAAGAAATTGTGATAAATAGTTAGATTTAGTGAATATATTTAAAATATTAGGAACAACAAAATGCGAAAAGGCAGAATACCAAGAGACTGTTTCTCATAAATAGTTACATTTATTGAACATATTTAGTGCATAGCTTCCACTAAATTTTTGTGATAACTGAAGGGTTGATGAATATTATCATGTTCAGATTAAATGTACATATGTAGAATATCAATAGTTAAGAGATTGTGATAAATAGTTACATTTAGTGAATATCTTTAAAATATTATTTTGAGAAATTATTACTAGTAATTGAAACCATGACTATTATAGCAAGCCTAATAAATAACAAACACGTGAACCAATTAACATCTCACATGGCGATCATATATCAATCCTACGTGACGTCAAAAGAAACAGTCTGCTTCAACAATATATTAATGTAAAATTAGGGTTTAAGAATTTGCTGCGTCAGGAATTGTTAAGGAGTATAAAATAGATAAAAAAAAAAAAAGTGAGAGAAAATGCTCTCTTCTCTCTAGGATTAGTGAAACAGCCCACCTTCCATTCTTTTTCCCCTCCACCCACCTCTCCTCTCTCCACCTTCATCACCTATCCTCCAACTTTACCAGCAAACACCTCCTTCTCATCTAACCACCATCCTCCATCTTTTTCGTCTTTTTTTTTTTCTCGTTTTCTTTTGAGTTTTTCTGGTCTGTTTGTTGCTGCTTGAGTGGTGAGAGGTTGTTGCAACTGTTTGGAGTGGGCGTGTTTTGGGGAGGAAAATCCGGTTGGTTTGGGTGCGATTGTGTGGTGTAGGTTGCTGTTGGGAGTGTTGTTGGCCGGATTTGGGCTTGCTTGGCCTGAGTTTCATCCTCCTGAGGTGAAGCTTTTTTGTTTTGTTTTAGAGAGTTGGATGTCCTTGCCTGTTGTTGTGGCTGGGGTGTTGCTTTGGGGCTGGTTGTGCTTGTCACCGGAGCTTGTAGTTGTGCTGCCGGAGTTTGGTTTTTCTTGTTGGCCAGACCTTGTAGATATACTGCCGGAGTTTGGTTCATCTTGTTGGCTGGAGCATTTCTGGTGTGGCTGGTCCTTGTTTCCTTTTCAAGAATGTGAGTGTGGTTCATTGTTTGAATTCTTTCCCCTTTTATCTTTGGCTAAGATTCTCCTTTTCTCCTATTGGCTAAGATTCTCCTTTTCTCCTATTGGATTGGTGGATTTTGCTTTATCCATTTCCTTTGGACTGGTTAATGGCAAGTTCTATAAGTGATTTTCTTTCCACCTCACCTCTTCCTATTTGTCATTGTGATTGCCATTATCCCTTATCTAACAAATCCCCACATCATCCTATCCTTTCACTTGTCATGCCACCTCATTACCTTGTCATCCCTCATCCCCTCACGTGTGCCACGTCACCCTAGGTGCCACGTCACCAGGTGAAAAAAAAATTCAATTTTTTCTGCTACCTCTCCTCCTTGACACCTATGGGGGTTGTTGAATGTGGGAAAAGCTGTGGTTTGAGTGAGCAGTATCCAAACATTGAAGAAAGGAAAATTGAAAGTGTTAGGAATGGTGCTTTGGTGCCTACTGGAGTCTTGAAATGGGCCACCATTTCTAATAGAGAGTTTGTCCAAGTCCAGTTGGTGAAACCTATTAATGGAGGGAATTCCGAATTTGAAGAAGGTGAAATTATTTGGGCAGATAGAGGAGCTGTTTGTGCTGAATCCAAGAGTGCTTTGGAGGGTACCCATGTTTCTTCTAGGGTAGGTGAAAATGGGCAGCACACAATCTGCAATGGTGTGGATAAGGGCGTGAGGTTGTAAGGCACCTACTGCTATAGAAAAATCAGGCCGGAATGATGCGCCATTGGTTAAAGGTGAGTTCAATCCGAAGCTAGGGAGTTGCTCTGATGGAAAGGGGAGATTTTATGAAAATGTGGCAGCGAAGGTTGATGAGATTTCTAAGGATTACCCCCCTCTCCCAAGCAAAGTGGTGGATGGAGTGAATAGAATTGAGAAGCCAAATGGTTGTGGTGATCAAAAACAGGTGAAATGGGAGGAAAAAGGAGCTTGGACAAGTGTTCTTGTCTCAAAGAGGTCTGATATTTCCCTTGAATATGTCAAACCAAATATGAGCAAGGAAGGTGGTAAGTTTAGAATTTCAATCCCCACTGAAATTGCGGCTTTAGGAATAGACAAATGGAGTAATTGTCTAGTCGGGTTTTTCCTTGGGAAGAAATTGCCGTTTTACCAAGCAAAGAGCTATGCTGATAGAAATTGGAGTCGTTTTGGAGCTGTGGGGGTCACTTCATATGGGCGTGGGGGCTATTTGCTCATGTTCCCAGATGAGGTTACTAAAATGGATGTGCTAGAGGGTGGTACATGGTTCATAGGAGGGCAGCCATTCTTTTTGAAGTTATGGACTCCTAATTTGTCATTGGGCATGAATGGGATTACTAGGGTACCCATATGGGTGAAATTCTATGGTATCCCTCTTGAGTTATGGACCCCTAAGGGTTTAAGTCATATAGCAAGTGTAATAGGCACCCCTCTTTATATGGACAATATTACCGAGTCGGGCGAAAGGCTTGAGTTTGCTAAAGTGTGCATTGAGATGGATTCTTCGGCCGAGTTTAAGGAGGAATTTGAGCTAGAGATGCCGAGTGGTGAGATTGCATTAGTTAAGTGGAGTATGCATGGAAACCATTTACCTGTGCTTGGTGCAAAACGTTTGGGCATGTCTAAAGAAACTGTCATTGGGCTCCTAAGGAAACCGAACCATGATTACCCAAAAAGCCGACTTCTCCTCATGTGCAAGAATGGAGACAAGTTACTAGCAGGAAGAATATAAGTGTCCCTCGAGAAGTAAGTCAGCAAAAGGTAGAGAGAAAAAAGGAAGGTGAGGCCCCTAAACCTTGTGAGAGTGTGAACCAATTTGTGTTGCTATCCAAAGAGGGTAAGGAAAAGAGAGATGTTGCCAATGGGGAGGAGAGGAAAAGCGGGAATGGTATTGAGGAAGGGCTGGAAGGTGAAACAAAGTTAGGTAGTGCGGTTTTGGGGGAGGAAGCTGCCAATGAGGATAGAGAGGAGAGAACTCCAACTACCAATGCTGTCTTCCTGAATACATTTGAGGACAGTGACATGGGAACTAGCTCTCCAATTTATCAACCGTTTGGGAACCTGGTACACGTGGATGAAAAGTTAAGATTGGAGAAGGAAAAGGGAAGTCTTTCTAAGAGTAAAAGGAGGAAACTTGCGAAGAAGGCGAGAACTCCCCCGAAGCTACCTCATAGCCATGGTTAAAGTTGCTGTGTGGAATGTTAGGGGGCTCAATTCCCCTATTAAACAAAAAGAGGTAAGGAATCTTTTTAGTAGCAATAATTCAAGTTTATGTGTTGTTTTGGAGACTAGGGTTAGGGAGAATAATATGGATGTTGTTAGGGAAATGGTGTTCCGTAATTGGGCTATGGTTGAGAACTATTGTTTTTTGTAAAAGGGGGAGAATTTGGGTGGGTTGGGATGGAGATATTTTGCATGTGCAGGTTATCCAAACTTCGGCTCAAGCAATTCTTTGTAAGATTAGAATTTTGAAAGATAATTCCATGCTCTTTTGTTCTATTGTCTATGGGATGAATAGTGTGGGGGAAAGGGAGGAGCTATGGAAGGAGCTTATCCACCATGCCAATGTTGGCCAACGTGAGCCATGGGTTATTATAGGCGACTTTAATGCGGTTAGATTTGCAGGGGAAAAGAAGGGAGGTTCTAATAAATGGAATTCGCAATGTGAAGAGTTTAATGACATGTGTAAGGAAGCTGATATTGTTGATCTTAATGCCATTGGCTCATTCTTCACTTGCAATTAAAAAGGTGAGGTCAATAGGAGGATTTGGTGTAAAATTGATCGGGTGATGTCTAATGAGCATTGGAGCGGCAGGTTTCCCAGCTCTTTTGCGTCCTTCCTTACTCCGGGCATATCGGACCATTGTCCAATGTGGTTGATAGTGGGCTGAACTTTCAAGGTAAGAAATCCCCTTTCATGTTTTTCAACTTATGGGCAGAGCATGAGGACTTCTTACCTATCGTGGAAAGAGTATGGAGTGTGGAGGTGTTGGGTAACCCCATGTACAGACTGGTCTCTAAGCTAAAAGCGTTGAAGGTTGAGCTTAAGAGACTAAATAGAAAAGAGTTCTGGAACATTTCGGAAAGAGTGAAATTTGCAAGAGATTATCTGGCCCAGGTCCAAGAAAGGCTTGTTGTGGATCCGGTTGATGGTGCTCTTTTGCAAGAGGAGAAACTTAAGGTGGAAAGGATGGTCAAGCTTTTAAAAGACGAAGAATCATTAGCCAAACAAAAGTCTAGGGTTAAATGGTTACGGGAAGGGGATGCTAACACTTCTTACTTCTTTAAATCGATTGCTGGATGGAGGAATAGAAATAAGATTGTGTCCTTGGAAATTGGGGAAGACTCGGTTACTAGTGATCAAGATAGAATCAAAGAGGAGTTTGTGTCTTTCTACTCAAATCTTTTTGAAGATGTGTGTGCAAGTGTTTCCTATGAGGGCATGGAGGAACTTATCACCCCTGTTATTTTGGAGGAGAAGGTCAACTCCATGATTAGTGAGGTTTCCAAAGAAGAGATTCAAGAGACCATGTTTGGAATGAGTAAAGACAAAGCATCAGGGCCAGATGGTTATGGAGCTTTTTTCTTTAAAAAAAGTTTGGGATATTGTAGGTCATGATGTTGTTAAAGCGATCCAAAATTTCTTCAGGTCAGGGAAAATGCTTAGAAAGGTGAATTGTGCCATTATTGCGTTAGTCCCAAAGAATGAAAACCCCTCATCTTGTAGTGAGTTTCGGCCGATCTCATGTTGTAACACCATCTACAAATGCATCTCAAAATTATGGCCAATAGAGTTAAAAGAGTTTTGCCTCAGTTCGTCAACAAAGCCCAAGGTGCCTTCGTGGGGTCGGGGGGGGGGGGGGGGGGGGGGGGGGTAAAATAATCGTGTGGGGTATGTAATTTATATGGAACCATTATTGGCGCTGAGAAGGGGACTTCGACGATGCAACGACAGTTGGAGAAGAAGCACCCCCAAATAATGCAGCTGTCCGGTACATCTTCAATCGAATCAGGTTGGCAAATTCAAACTCAACTTAATTTTAATCTACAATCCTCAACTCTCTCAACATGGCAATACAATGCACATGTTGCACACGAGGAAATAACAAGATTCATAGTTGCTACGGACTCTCCCATTTGTTTATCTGAACATCCTTATTTTATTCATATGATTAAAACTGCATTTTATTCAGTATATAACCCTGTTAATAGAAGTACAAGTAGAAGAGATATACTAAAAACTTTATAACAAAATAAATAATAAACTTAAAAACGAATTTAAAATTTTTAGGAATATATCTATTGCACTTACATCAGACATATGAGTTTGTAGATCAAAAACATATTTTTTAACTGTCACAATACATTTCTTAGAACATAGTTGGGGTTTACAACAAAAATTGATGGGTTTTAAACTATTATATGAAAAACATAGTGCTAACACTATTTATTTTACAATTCTTGAAGTTTTGCAAGAATATGTATTAACTGATAGAGTTGTAACGCTAACACTTGATAATGCAGCTACTAACACTACGACAANATGGCTTTGTCTCTCACAACACTTTTGATAACATCAATTATGGTGAAGGAATCCTTATAGTCACCCCTAAAAATTCGTGAATTTCGCTCCATCCAAATCCAATAAACCATAGCCCCTAAACAAAGCCTACCCAAAGTGAATTTTAAGCTCTTACCTTTCCATTTCCTTGCCAAATAGGGGATGTAATCATGCCAGGGTCTGACCACATAGCCAAGGTTAGCAAGCATAAGGATCTTACTCCAAATAGACTTAGCTTCCCTAAAGAGTACTTTAACTTTTTCTTCCTCCACCTACTAGCTATGTGCTCAACATAATCGTTCCAAGGCCGGGTGACATACCCAAGAGAAGAGAGCTCAAGGATTGGGTTCCAAATCCTTAGGGTGAAAGGACAAGCAAAAAAGAGAAGATCGATTGTTTCTTGCCCATGATTACAAAAACAACACGCATTGCCAGAAGCTATTCCATACCTCATCAGTTTGTCCCTGGTCTGAAGACGATCCTTACATGCCATCCACATGATCATGGAGTGTCGTGGAATAGCTTTTGGGATCCATACAAGGTGTTGCCACTCCACTTGGTGTTGGTGCACACGAGTAACCTCCCAAGCCGATTTAATAGAGAACTTATTGGATGCATTCGGCTTCCAAACTACCACGTCCTTGCCCTCCTTTGGATCAAAGTCGATAGAATCCTTCATGTCCATCAAAGCCCAAGAATTAGTCGTTGGCCATCTCCACCTTGTCCCATCCCAAATCTCACACATCTTAGCAAGATAATGTAGCCACGAATCATACACAATACGGCTCCCATATCTATCCTTGGAAGGGCCTCTTGGGTGCCAATTATCATGCCAAACATAAGTTGCTTCACCATTTCCGATGATGACTTTGATGTGCTCTCTAGCTTCCATTCAAAGCTTCAAAATGCTCCTCTAAGCCCAAGAAGCATGCGAAGGTATAGGAATCTCCCAAAAGCTCTTCCTCACCAAGTACATTGCTTTGATCCACTCAACCCATCCGAAGCCACTATGTACCTGATTAAGATTCCAAACATGTCTCATCATGGCTGCCTTATTCCAATCCTTAGCTCTCATAATCCCCAACCCACCTTCTTCAACAGGGACACAAACTTCTTCCCATGCAACTTTGGCCTTTGAGGTTTTCATGTCACTCCCAGACCATAGGAAAGCCCTTAACTTAGCATCAATTTCATTGAGGATCTTTGAAGGAAGCACGAAAATAGATGACCAATAGACTTGAATGCTAAAAAGAATGGTTTTAATGAGAATTACCCGACCAGCACAGGAGAGGAATTTGCTCCGCCAAGATTGAATGCGAGCCAAGATTTTGTCCACTAAAGGTTTGCAATGATAAGGGGAAAGTTTTTTGCTAATGAGAGGGACACCCAAATACTTCATTGGAAGCTTTCCTTCTTGATACCCAAGAATCGGCAAAAGAGCTTGTTTGCCCTCCTCACTCACCCCGGAGAAGAAAATATTGCTTTTTGAGGGGTTTGTTTCTAACCCCGCTCAAAATGTGAAACGATCCAATGCTCTCTTGAGCTTGCCAAGAGAGTTTTCATCCGTGTGGCAAAAAATCATTACATCATCTGCAAAACAAAGATGGGTTAGGTTTAACTCTTTGCACCTCCAATGGTGCTTAAAAGAAGGTTCCCTCGTTGCTCTATTTAGAAGTCTTGATAGAACCTCCATGGCAATCACAAAGAGATAGGGAGAGATAGGGTGTCCCTGCCTAAGCCCTCTAGAACCGCTAAAGAACCCAGATAATTCCCCATTAACGGCTACAGAGTATTTAGGAGTTTTGATGCACTCCTCTACCCACCCAATAAACTTCAAAGGAAACCCGAGAAGCTCTAGAGCTTTAATAACGAAATCCCATCTTACAGAATCATAAGCTATCATAAGGTCTACCTTCATTGCACATCTAGCCCCTTTGGACGACTTCCTATCATAGTGGTGGAGAAGTTTTTCGCTCAAAAGGATATTATCTGCAATTTTCCTCCCCCTCACGAAGGCACCTTGGGCTTTGTTGACGAACTGAGGCAAAACTCTTTTAACTCTATTGGCCATAATCTTGGAGATGCATTTGTAGATGGTGTTACAACATGAGATCGGCCGAAACTCACTACAAGATAAGGGGTTTTCATTCTTTGGGACTAAAGCAATAATGGCACAATTCACCTCTCTAAGCATTTTACCTGACTTGAAGAAATTTTGGATCGCTTTAACAACATCATGACCTACAATATCCCAAGCTTTTTTATAGAAAAAAGCTCCATAACCATCTGGCCCCGGTGCTTTGTCTTTACTCATTCCAAACATGGTCTCTTGAATCTCTTCTTTTGAAACCTTACTAATCATGGAGTTGGCCTCCTCCTCCAAAATAACAGGGGTGATAAGTTCCTCCATGCCCTCATAGGAAATACCTGCACACTTATCTTCAAAAATATTTGAGTAGAAAGACACAAACTCCTCTTTGATTCTATCTTGATCACTAGTAACTGAGTCCTCCCCAATTTCCAAGGACACAATCTTATTTCTATTCCTCCATCCAGCAATCGATTTAAAGAAGTAAGAAGTGTTAGCATCCCCTTCCCGTAACCATTTAACCCTAGACTTTTGCTTGGCTAATGATTCTTCGGCTTTTGAAAGCTTGACCATCTTTTCCACCTTAAGTTTCTCCTCTTGCAAAAGAGCACCATCAACCGGATCCACAACAAGCCTTTCTTAGACTTGGCTAGATCATCTCTTGCAAATTTCACTCTTTCCGAAATGTTCCAGAACTCCTTTCTATTTAGTCTCTTAAGCTCAACCTTCAACACTTTTAGCTTAGAGACCAGCCTGTACATGGGGTTACCCTCCACCTCCACACTCCATACTCTCTCCATGATTGGTAAGAAGTCCTCATGCTCTGCCCAAAAGTTGAAAAACTGGAAAGGGGATTTCTTACCTTGAAAGTTCAGCCCACTATCAACCACATTGGACAATGGTCCGATATGCCCAGAGTAAGGAAGGACACAAAGGAGTTGGCAAACCTGCTACTCCAATGCTCATTACACATCGCCCGATCAAGTTTACACCAAATCCTCCTATTGACCTCTCCTCTGTTATTCGAAGTGAAGAATGAACCAATGGCATTAAGATCATCAATATCAGCTTCCTTACACATGTCATTAAACTCTTCACATTGCGAATTCCATTTATTAGAACCTCCCTTCTTTTCCCCTGCAAATCTAACCCCATTAAAGTGGCCCATAATAACCCATGGCTCACGTTGGCAAACATTGGCATGGTGGATAAGCTCCTTCCATAGCTCCTTCCTTTCCCCCACACTATTCATCCCATAGACAATAGAACAAAAGAGCATGGAATTATTTTTCAAAATTCTGATCTTACAAAGAATTGTTTGAGCCGAAGTTTGGATAACCTGCACAAGCAAAATATCTCCATCCCAACCCACCCAAATTCTCCCCCTTTCACAAAAACAATAGTTCTCAACCATAGCCCAATTACGGAACATCATTTTCATAACCACGTCCATATTATTCTCCCTAACCCTAGTCTCCAAAACAGCACATAAACTTAAATTATTGCTACTAATAAGATTCATTACCTCTTTTTGTTTAATTGGGGAATTGAGCCCCCTAGCATTCCACGCGGCAACTTTAACCATTGCTATGAGGTAGCTTCGGGGGAGTTCTCGCCTCCTTCACAAGTTTCCTCCTTTTACTCTTAGAAAGACTTCCCTTTTCCTTCTTCAATCTTTCCTTTTCATCCACGCATACCAGTTTCCCAAACGGTTGATAAATTGGAGAGCAAGTTCCCATGTTACTATCCTCAAATGTATTCAGGAAGACAGCATTGGTAGTTGGAGTTCTCTCCTCTCTATCCTCATTGGCATTTGCAGCTTCCTCCCCCAAAACCGCACTACCCAACTTTGTTTCACCTTCCAGCCCTTCCTCAATATCATTCCCGCTTTTCCTCTCCTCCCCATTTGTAACATCTCTCTTTTCCTTATGCTATTCGGATAGCACCACAAATTGGTTCACGCTCTCACAAGGTTTAGGGGCCTCACCTTCCTTCTTTCCCTCTACCCTTTGCTGACTTACTTCTCGAGGGACACTTATATTCTTCTTGCTAGTAACTGGTATCCATTCTTGCACATGAGGAGAAGTCGGCTTTTTTGGTAACAACGGTTCAATTTCCTTAGGAGCCCAATGGTAGTTTCTTTGGACATGTCCGAACGTTTTGCACCAAGCACAAGTAAATGGCTTCCATGCATACTCCGCCTTAACTAATGCAATCTCACCACTCGGCATCTCTAGCTCAAATTCCTCCTTAACCTCGGCCGAAGAATCCATCTCAATGCACACTTTAGCAAACTCAAGCCTTTCGCCCAACTCGGTAATATTGTCCATATAAAGAGGGGTGCCTATTACACTTGCTATATGACTTAAACCCTTGGGGGTCCATAACTCAAGAGGGATACCATAGAATTTCGCCCATATGGGTACCCTAGTAATCCCATTCATGCCCAACGACAAATTAGGAGTCCATAACTTCAAAAAGAATGGCTGCCCTCCTATGAACCATGTACCACCCTCTAGCACATCCATTTTAGTAACCTCATCTGGGAACATGAGCAAATAGCCCCCATGCCCATATGAAGTGACCCCCACAGCTCCAAAGCGACTCCAATTTCTATCAGCATAGCTCTTTACTTGGTAAAACGGTAATTTCTCCCCAAGGAAAAACCCGACTAGACAATTACTCCATTTGTCTATTCCTAAAGCCGCAATTTCAGTAGGGATTGAAATTCTAAACTCACCACCTTCCTTTCTCATATTTGGTTTGACATATTCAAGGGAAATATCAGCCTCTTTGAGACAAGAACACTTGTCCAAGCTCCTTTTTCCTCCCTTTTCACCTGTTTTTGATCACCACAACCATTTGGCTTTTCAATTCTATTCACTCCATCCACCACTTTGCTTGGGAGAGGGGGGTAATCCTTAGAAATCTCATCAACCTTCGCTGCCATATTTTCATAAAATCTCCCCTTTCCATCAGAGCAGCTCCCTAGCTTCGGATGGAACTCACCTTTAACCAATGGCGCATCATTCCAGCCTGATTTTTCTATAGCAGTAGGTGGCCTTACAACCTCACGGCCCTTATCCACACCATTGCAGATTATGTGCTGCCCATTTTCACCAAGCCTAGAAGAAACATGGGTACCCTCCAAAGCACTCTTGGATTTAGCACAAACAGGTCCTCTATCCACCCAAATAATTTCACCTTCTTCAAATTCGGAATTCCCTCCATTAATAGGTTTCACCAACCTGACTTGGACAAACTCTCTATTAGAAATGGTGGCCCCTTTCAAGACTCCAGTAGGCACCAAAGCACCATTCCTAACACTTTCAGTTTTCTTTTCTTCGATGTTTGGATACTGCTCACTCAAACCACAGCTTTTCCCACATTCAATGGCCCCCATGGGTGTCAAGCAGGAGAGGTAGCAGAAAAAATTGAATTCTTTTTTTTTTTTCACTTGATGACATGGCACACATGAGGGGATGAGGGATGACAAGGCAGTGAGGTGGCATGACAAGTGTAAGGATAGGATGATGTGGGGATTTGTTAGATAAGGGATAAAAGCAATCACAATAACCAATAGGAAGAGGTGAGGTGGAAAGAAAATCACTTATGGAACTTGCTATTAACCAGTCCAAAGGAAATGGATAAAGCGAAATCCACCAAGCCAATAGGAGAAAAGGAGAATCTTAGCCAAAGATAAAAGGGCAAAGAATTCAAAATATCAACCACACTCACATTCTTGAAAAGGAAACAAGGACCAGCCACACCAGAAATGCTCCAGCCAACAAGATGAACCAAAC